AAGGTACTTCAAAGATCGCATCTAGTGTAACCCGTAGGACCACACACACTGCACCATACGCAGAGATTAGTATTCGATGGGAGGAAGATCCTTGCAATACCAACGAAACTTGTTCATCCAATTCACTTCATATAGGGTGAAATATTAGGGAAGAAGACTGATTCAAACGAGGGACAAACGGGAAATCATAACCCGCCGCTTCCATATTCATCGGGCTAAAGATAAAGATGGATTTCTCTTCTACCTGCCACCAAGAAAAGAGATACACGAACATAATACCAACACCCAGAATAGAACTCGTAAGAGAACTGCATACTGCAGCCGATCGCGCCAAGGCGATAAAAGCACTACTAGAGGTCACAAAAGTAGAACCAAATGAAACTAAACTCATCGGTATATCACCGAACGATCGTTTACGTTTATCTTCCTTTTTTGGGGGGGCAGCATACAACCAGTGCTAAGCTCAATTACAACACATAATATAGGTACCATATCCTAAACCAGCCCATTCATATCAAGTGGTGAAGAAACCTATAATCAATGAAAATGTGAAAATAAATGAGTCCGTGCTTAATGATCTCTCTAATACAATAATGGCCTCTGGTCTGTGAATTCTTCATCTTACTCCATATAAGGAAGGATCTGATTCGTGATTCGATGGTCACATGCTTCAGGATTTGATGAAGCTCTAAAATTTTGTTCAGACTGCATGAGTGATGACAATCAGAGTTTTAGGATTAGTTTATTTTTTGATAAAAATTATAAAGGCAATTTTATCACTTCAATTATTTATAGCTTAATTATAGAAAATATACAGAAGAATTACTGTATTTTATTCAGCAACTAGTTATTCTTTTATAGGCTTTTTAAAACTAAAGGCAGAAAATTCATGCCCAAATACTTGATCTTCCTTGTGTATGTCCATTCATTGAATGGTAGGCTTTCAAAAATACAAAAATGTATCATAGGTATTAGTGATCGTTCTACGAACCAACTACTGACAAATTGAATTGTCTTTTGGATCTACTATCCCTTCAACCCCGTTTTAAGTGGCAATCCAAATCATTAGTATCTTTAAGGGATACAAAGTCAAATAAAACCCCCTCGAAGTTCTTAAACAATTTATGAAACAAATGTAGGTCTTGTCTAACTTTCTCACGCTTGTGCAGCTTAATTTACGCATGATCACATGACATGAGAGAGAACATGAGCTTTGCTTGTTAAAGGAGTTTCAAAGAATAAAAGTAATTAGTATTAAACGCAACAAAAAAAAAGAAACAACAATGCAAAACATAGATTTGTTATCATTAGGATAATAGAAGCAAGACCAATGTAGGAAAAAGTTCATTCTATCAGGAAAAAATAATAATATGAAGAAGAAAAAGAGTCAATTTACCTCCTGATACGACCTAATTAGTCTTTAATAAAGGTATTATGATATCACGAGTTAAAAAAAAAGCTAGATAGATTCGATAAAGCGTAAAACATAAGAGAGAAATCTATGGAAGCAAATTAGCCTTTGTTTACGTTTGTAAATATAATTTTATTTTAGTAATGTGTTAGCACAATAATGGGATGCTAGTTGTGTGGATATACTAAAGAATCACGAAGCTGAGATTGATTGGAAGGAGTTTCGTTTTCTATAAAATTGGTTGTCTTCGTCTATGCCAAATCTCACATGACAATTGGGCAAGTCTTTGGCTCCCTTCTCTCTATTATTGCACGTATTAAGAATTGTAAAATAAAAAAATACCTTTTTTTTAACAACTAAACAGAAAATACCATTTATCCATTCTTATTTTAGTTTTTACAAACTTTCCACTATAGTAAAAAGGCTAATTTAAATTTAGTTAGTTTTTAGTAGGTTTTTCTTTAAATTAGCCTTTTTACTAGAGTGGATAAATCATTTTAAAAACTTTTAGCAAAATATGCCCATAAAGAGCGAAATAATTTTTTTGTCACCTAGTTATTATTTTACTTATCCATTCTTGTGGGCTGAGTTCAATCATTTTAAAAACTTTTAACAAAATAAGCCTATAAAGCGGTGAAATATATATTTTTGTCACCTAATAACTATTTTTTTACTATCATATTACTCTGTAATTTGGGTAACCAGAATAAAATAACTAACTAAATTAAAAATTTCTTATTGTTTTGTATTTTTGTGATATATATAGTCAATTCTCCTAAATATCTTTTTAAAGTTTTTATCATAAAAATAATCCTTAAAAAGTAAAATGATCAAAATAATCCATTTTTATTTTAATTTTTTTTTAAAAAAAAATGAAACTCTATCCCAAAATCCAACTTCATAACTCTAAACTATTAAAAGTATAGTTTATTCTTCAATAAAATCTATTTTGGTCATTTTCTTCTTAAATATTATTTTTATGAAAATAAATTAAAAAAAAATTTCCAAGAGAATTTTTCTATATATATTAAAAGATAGTGCTTATGTTTGCGTAATGCCTACCAACCGGATGAGTACACATTTCTTTACAAAAAAATACTTCTGCTAAACATTTTTCATATTTTATTTGAAAGTTCCATCTAAAAATAACCATTCTAGAGATTTATAAACTTTAAACAAAGAAGACACGTAAATAAAAACAAAGACAAACATACAGACATCAAGACTTTCTTATTTTTGGTAAAACAAACTGCAGACTTTGTAGATTATATAACATACATACTTTTCATAAAGTAAGATAGTCTTTGTCTTATTACGTTTATTTAGATGGGTCATTTCCAAACTGGGCTTTGAAAAGAGCCAGGAGCTTCTGCTTTGGCGGCAAGACTTCCTTAATAATACTATTCCCAACGAAATTTTCTGACCAACGTTGTAGTTTTGGAAACTTCTCTCCGGTCATGATCATGACACCTGAAGCTTCTTGCGCAATCCCAAACCAATACGCTATGAAGTCAGCGGCTATATCAATAAATCCAATTGTCTCTCCTCCAAAAAACTGTTTGTCTCCAAGCTCTTTTTCGAGACATTTCAAACCCTCATAAGCTTCTTCAACCATCTTCTCTCTTTCGCTTTCTGGTCCCAAACAAGCCTTCCACAATGTTAACATTACCTACAACATGCAGAACAATACACGTTAATGGTGAATGGTGATGGCTTGTAAGTTGTAAGTTGTAACTAGACGATAAATCCAAATAGCCTTTTGTATAACTAGTCCTTAATTTGTAAATAGATTTACCAACTCAGAACCCATAAGACAAAAAAACTATCTAAGTAATCAGTATTGTTTAAAAACGGTTCTTAAATATGCATATTTGTTATAAATGTGCTCTTCGTAACATTTGATTAATTCACTAAACCCTATTTTCTTTATGAAAAAAGTAAAAAATAGTCATAAAATAGTATTATTTGTCGCAAAAAAAGAAATATTTTGACATTGTTAATGCCATCAACTATACCCTAGGTTCACCATCAGAGTTTAGGTTTCATCTCTTAGGGTTTAGGGTTCACTTCTTAGAGTTTAGGGTTTAATTTGTCAAATTAACATAACATTTTTTCGGCAGTTAATATTATTTTCTGTTTTTAATGAATAAAATATGATTTAATAAATTTTAGTGGCGAACCTATAATTTAATATCACAAGAAAAACTCATAATTTAATATCACAAGAAATGGACGTTTTCACTATAATCACATATAACATGTGTGTACCTTGTCATCCACATACTTAGCCCAAAAACGGGCCATGGAACGTTCATAAGGATCGTGAGGCAAGATTGGGTAACTTGTCTTCCAAGTATCTTCAATGTATTCGACAATCACCAGAGACTCAGCTATCGATTTGCCTTGGTGGACGAGGACAGGGACTTTTCTGTGGATAGGGTTCAATTTGAGAAGCATAGGGCTCTTCTGAACATAAACATCTTCTTCAATATATTCATAAGGTATGCCCTTAAGTTTCAGGACCATCTCTACTCTTTTGCTAAAAGGACTTCCCCATAACCCCAAGAGCTGAACTTGTTCTTCTTGGTTCATCTTTCCGGTAAATAATTTGATTTGTTTTTCTTCTTAGTGTGTGTTCTCTTGAGAAATGGTGGTTAGCAGCTATTTATAGTGTTTTTGGATTTGATTAATGTATTATTGTCATCATTATGATGATTAATAACGACGATGCCAAGGAAATGAGATAATAATAAAGAAAATGCTTGTTGGTTAAGATTTTGACTTTTCGTGAAGGGTAGTGGTTGAGCACATTGTTTTTATGTTATCCTGACATTCGATGTGAAACTATGAACATATAGAATAGAGTTAACTATCAGTACCTTCAGAATTTTCAAAAGTATATCTTTTGCTCTCAACTGTTACGTAACTGAAAATTAAAATATATATCATTTAAATATTATGTACATATTAAAGGGAAATAATTTATATACTGCAAAACATTCATTTTGTGATATCTCTAGATCGGTACATTCAGATTTTGACGGATTCAATACTTTCATAGTAAGTTATCTTTACATTCTGACTAGTTCTTAGTCATTACGTAAGCAATTACGTTTATAGATTTAGAAGAACCGGGTCCCGATTATCTAGCTTGACAAAGGCCATTATCATCTCTAGGCCCAATAATTTTAAATAGTGGAAATTAAGGTAACATCTTTAACTTTGAAAACTCTGAGAAATGCCCAAAACCTCAAACTCAACTAGGATACACAGTGTGATTAAGCTGATGGTGAAACCTAAACGAACTGTGAAACTACTACAGAAGTTGGCCACTGTTTTGGTCAATCACCCCCCCCCCCAAGTTATATAAGCTTTTATTTATTATTTTGTACATATAGGTTATTTTAAATTAATGCTTAAGTTTTTTGTATTTATATAACTAGGTAAGGACATTCATTTTATAAAAATAAATATATCATACTTTATAAATTATATTTTTATAAAAATACTGTTTATTTTTCTTTTCAACGAAGTTCTTGTAACATGTGTATAATGTAGATTACATGTGTCTATATTTATTTATAGATGTTACTAAAATTTTATATTGGGTTTACAATTTCATATTATAATTCAATTTAATATGCTAATACTAATCTATATATTATTTTGTAAGTTATTTGAAATTATATATACAATTTAATATATATATAAAGTTCATTAAAAACAAACACATTTAAACTTAATCATTTACTACACTAATAAAGATAAATTATAATGATGAGTATGAAATTTATAATTTATTTGAAACCATGTAAAAATATATGTATAGTAAAAATATGATTATATGGCAACGTTAAGAGATCTTCTCCACTAACATGTTCTTTTTGGTAAATTACACATGCATTTTTTTCCTCATTATTTGTATCTTTTATAAAAGTATATTTTTCTACATCAGTGTGGATGCATCTATTCGACTATGAAATCTCTATTTTCTACAGAAACTTGGACAACTAAGAGATTAAAATTCTTTGATATTCATCATATATCAGTGTTGGATTCAACCATGCATACAAAAAATCCATATTTTACTAATTTATCTTAAAATATATGGATTAATCCATATGCAAAACTTGAGTTTTTCCGATTTTAGTGTTGTTTAAAATATCTAACCACATTAAAAATATATACTAATGTATCCTAAATTTATTTTTAAGGTACATGGGCATCTGTTATAATTTTCCAACGAGTAATTTAATAAAACTTCATATACCACGTAAATCAAAAAATAAAACCCTATGAAATGTCTATATTCTAGAGAAATTGGGACAACAAGAGTGTCATACATTCTTGACGTTCATAATATATCTGTGCTAGATGCATCTATGCATTAAAATAAAAGTACCGTATTTTATAATTTATCTTTAAATATGTGGATTAATCTCTACAAAAGATTAAGTTTTCCGATAAATGATATTTACTCAAGTTTAAGCTCTTTCATGCTAACTAAAAAAATACCTAATCACATTATACATTTATATTAATGTATGTTAAACTTATTCTCATGGTACATGGACATCGTTTCTAATATTTTAATGAGTAATTTAATAAAATTTCATATTCTACCTAATTCAGTGGGCTAATCCCTATAAAATCTATATGTTTTGGAGAAATGAAGACAAATAAGGTCTCACAACTCTTTAATTTTCATCACATATTATTGCATGATGAATTTATGAATTAGAACAAGATACAATATTTTCTAATTTATCTTACGAAAATATCGAATTGTTTTCCAAAAATGTTATATATACTAAAATTTAGACTCATTAATATTAAAAAAAAAAAACCACACTCTAATGCATATTGATGTATGTTAAACACATTTTCATGGTACATGAGCATCATTTCTAATATTTCAACGAATAAAATTTTTAAACTTCATATACTATCTAATTAGTATACTAACCCCTATAAAATCTATATTTTCTAGAGAAATGGAAAAACCTAAGGTCTTAAACATATTTAATACTCATAATATGCCAGTGTATGATGCATCTATGCATTAAAAATATTCCATATTTTCTAATTTATTTTCAAATATATGGGTTAACTCCTATATATATGCTAACTTATTTTCATAGTACTTGGGTATCATTCCTAATTTCTACTGAGTAATTTATTTAAACTTCATATACCACCTAATAAATGTACTAACCCCTAACAAAACTCTTTTTTTTCATGAGAAACATGAACACTTAAAGTATCAACTCTCTTTAATCTCCATACTAAGTCACTGCATGATGGAGACATTCTTTAAAACAAAAATCATATTTTTAGTTTATCTTGAAATATGTGGATTTTTCTCTACGAAGAGATCGAATTTTTCGGTAAATGTTATATATACTAAAGTTTAGCCTCTTTAGTTTTGTTTAAAAATATCTAACCACATTCAAAACTTATATTAATGTACTAAACTTATGCTCATGGTACATGAACATCAATTCTAATTTTCAACAGAGGAATTTAATAAAATTTCATATACCACCAAAATTAATGAACTAAACCCTATGAAATCTCTATTTTTAAGAGAAACGAAAACACCTAAGTTCTTAAACTTATTTAATCTTCATATTATGTCATTACATTATTACATTATGCATCTATACATTAAAACAAAATATTTCCTTGCGCTTTGCATACTAAAGAGATCTTTCCCGGATCTTTATTTGAATGGATCCTCTCCACAACCATTGATTTATTTAGTTTGTGTATATTAATATATACAGAGCACCTTTTGGAGTTTAAGGGTTAATATCAGCTCCAAAGTATATGAGTTTTTTTTTTTGTTAATGCATGAAATGCAGCATAATCCTAAGTTCCCTTCATTGGCTCGTAGAGAACAAAATTTATTTTCTCTAATGATTTGATTTGATGTCTCATACTCCCTTCTTTTACTTTTATGCTTTATATGCCTTGTGTTTACGCAGAAAACAATCTATGCGAATGAAGTGGTTGTAATCTACCAAGTTGTTGTTAAGTTACAGAGGAAAATGTTTTACTAAGTTGTTGTTTGTATGATTGGTCGACATCAAACGTTATTTTTTAATTTACAATATATACGAAAAGTTATCAGTCTAAAAACTAGTTTGAGTTATGATCCATGATATTAAGCAACCCTAACATGTTTCCGCATTCAATTAGCTTTGGATAATACTAACAAAAAACTATGGTTAAAGCAGATTATATCCACATATATATATATGCCATCAAATTATTGCAATTTATTAGTTTAAAACTGGTTGATTGAAATGAAGATTACGTTCCGTATCCAAAATTAGTCACCACATTATTCAGATTGTAAATGAATGCCTCAAAATAATTGTGAATTTAGATTTAAAAAACTTACATCTATAGCAATCAAATATAATGATTCTCTTAAACAACGCTATTATAATTAATGTTTAGAGTACATAATCTACATTGAGACTATATAGCTTTAACGTTTACTGAAACAAAGCTAAGAGTAAGACATGTGAATGCACAATAAAACTTGAACAAAAAGATTAATTTCGTTTTCCATTAGGGCATATGTTCTCATAGCATTAAACCTTTCGAATAAGGATCTTCTCCTTACTATTTAGCCTCACGAGGCTTATAAATTCTCACATTTTCGTGGTAACTCCTCAACATCTAAAACAGCAACAACAACAAACCACAAGACAATAAAACTCCTAAAACGAGATCTTACATGCATGACCATAGTATTGGTGAGGACCGGGTAATCTGCATCCTGGGGTTTAAAGTGTAAGTACACAAAAATATGCGTACGCAATACGTATATTTGTCAATATATTCTAGACCTCAGGATGCGGATTACCTCTTCCTTACAATACATACAATAGACGATTAGCAGGGTGAAAGGTTATTTATTTATTTACTTTTTACCATCGTTAATATATATTCAAGACGAATATTCTCCAAATACACAAGAAGTGTAGTATCCATGTGTATCCGTAATTAAGTATATGTACATTCAATGCTTCCGTACGTGCATATGAATGTATTATTATTATATAGTACGTGCATGCTGGTTACACTACCAATATTTGTCTAGTGACCATTTACGAATACAGTATAGCTTAAAAGTTGACGAATGTTTTTTTTTTTTTTAGTTTACAGAATTAGAACTACATATTACTCTTCGACATTGAACGCTAAAACCATTTTTATGGCACTAGACTTTTGCATGAGGTGATAAGAGTCATTAAACGCAATTGCAAGTAATTTCTTCGTGTTAATCATGTATAAAAATAGTCCGTACGAATTACCGTATTAGGGTAATTAAGGAGAAGTTAAGAGTGCGTACTTCTAATGCGTTCCAAACTTTTTGTTCTCTCTCTAGGGTTTATCTTCGCTCATTCTCCGAGGTCTCTTCTCGCTTTCAGCGCGACTTGCCGGTCCGTGAGGCGGCCAAGCGAGTGCAAGTGATAAAGTTTCATACCAAAAAAGTAATTTGACGGTGGTTGCAAACGCATGTGCTTCTTCTCCAAAACTTGTGGTGTGGTATCTGGTAGATCCGGTCATCATGGCGGATAGAACACGTCATGGTTTTTGAGAAGTGTTATTTCGGCTTAGA